GACGTGGGCAACTTATGAGTATTCTGCACACGATATTACAATTTTAATGAAAAAAAGTGCATGCTTTCTTTTACAATGTTTTTCAGAAATTTATATACGCTTATTTCATCATAAAATTCCATTATTTCATCAACTACAGGTCGACCCAAATCCACCACCTTCGAAGAAAAGAAAAGAAGAACCAAACTATGACACCATTCTATTGGTAGCAATGAAAATGCCAGAGGCACAATTATGCCACCTCCCTTTGGGTTTTAATTCTTCGCATAAGCCAGACCCTTTTCGTCATTGCGATGCATCTAATTGTTTTTTTACTTTTTTACCTAATACAGATACGATTATCATTTTAGCCTGTGGCCATACATATCACAACTCCTGTTATATCAGCAACGGGTCCAAATGCTTATATTGTCTTGTGTTTCTACACGAGGGTGTCGACGAGCAAGTTCAATCGTTGCTAACTCATTTAAAAGAGAAAAGCTCCAAGAAAAAATGAACCAAAAAACGTGATAATGATCCTCCTGATGGTGATGAAGATAATGAAAATAATCTGGTAAAGTATTCAACATTTGAGTTAGAAGAGGCGTTGCAAAAATTTCAATCATTACATTAGCGAAATTTTTTTGTGTACAAGTCTTTTATATATATATATTTTTTTAATAATATAACTTTGAGATTTTATTAAATTAAATTATTAAAAATCTTTACTATATAATAAATTATTACATGTTTATTGTATATTTATTACATCACTTAACAACGCGTATTATTATTACATGCATCAGTATGATCAGTTTAATCTTGGGTGATTCGCACCCTACAATTATGTAAATTTGCCTATTAGTACTTATGATTCTGGTCTAACATATGAGTATAAACATGCTAACTAAGGCCGTGCAATGTTAATTGATTGGTTCTCGTAACCCGACCTGGTCAAATTTTGAAGATTTTTATAAAAAAAAAAATTTGCCGGGTGTTTTTAAAAAATTAAAAAAGTCGAGTCTATTTAAAAAGTTTCATGTTCGAGAAACAATCACCTAATTATTATGATCTGTTAAAGTAAAAATAGCTTTAGAACATCTATATTCATTGTGCAAAAATAATCAAAAATAATCGGTAACCCCAAGAACTTCACTAAGAAGCAAATATTTTTACTATTTATTGTAATATTAATCATATTAACTGTATTGGAAACGGCCAACAAAAAAAAGAACATAATATTATAATAAAACATAAGTAACTTCAGGTTAAGTAGTAGGTTGACAATATGTACGATCTTTGAGTATTATTGTTTATTAATTATATTGGCTAAAGGTCGTCTAATAAAGGTCATGATAATGAAAGAAAATCGAATTACTTTAAAGATAATAGATAAAGAACAAAGATAGTTTCACTAATAATTTATTCACAACTAACTCTTTAATGAGTTGGATATTTAATAAATTCATTCTACTTTACGCGTATCTATCTGTATTCTAACTTTATGTGATAAATTCTTTGTATGTAATTATTGGTTTGTAAGCTTCTTTAAGCGAAGTTTTCTTCGTTTTCTAGTATTAAATGATATAAATGTTATGTAATTTGATTGGTTAATTATCACAGGCAATCACGGGTAGATCGCCAAAAATTAACCAATCATATGAATGTCCTCCTATGACCTGCATATTCAGTAACTTCTTCCTAATCTAGTACCTGTTGTGTTGCCACCACCGGGTTCGTATCTCGAGCTATCTTTTAGGATACTGCCGTAACCCGATCCGTATCTCAAACCACAACCTTCCTATTTTAGTAGTTGTTACGTACTCCTGCCCTTGTTTTGGGTTCGCACAACCCCAGCACCCACATTTGAACTTTCCTTCTTTCCCGGATTTTTTATCTGTCTCTCCCTTACTTCCAGCTGGCAACCCAGAAGGGTTGGTTCACTTAGACTTTAGGTGTCTATATGGTCTTCCTTCCCGTGGTACATGCTTCCAGAGCACATGTCTTTTTACTCTGGTTTGGTGACCCGGCGGTTCAGCTGGTATGTCTCCCCTTCTCAAGGACCTGGTCGCTTGGTTCTCTAATCTCAGTCTCCAGTTCCAAATTCAGTCTTCCTGTAGTACTGTCGAAGATTGCACTACCTCCCAACTCAGGACTTGCCAAATGGGTTTTCAGTTCTTTTGATATCTCAGATTTATTACGCCAAAGCTCCCATTCTAGATGGTGCGACCGAGATTACAGATTTCTAGATCCTACTAATTGTTGAATAGCTGTTAACCATTCACAGGACTATTTTTCGAAAACGTCATCTGTGGGATTCAAACTCTAGACCTGCCATCTGGGGTGCAACAACTCCACCACTTCACTAAGTCGCCACACCCTATAATCTTTAATGATAATCTTGTTTTCTTTCAATTATTGATTCATTTATATCTACTACTCTTATATTTTTTTTTTTTTAATAGCCTTATAGTAGTACTTCTACAATATTATTTTTTTAATATAACATATAAGGAATATAGATCTATTTTGATATAGTTTTTAATTTGTTATATGATGTTATCTCATAAATAGTTAATTAGAATTATATAATTTTAGTATTATTTGATTCTCTTATCAAGATGAACTGAATAGTAACAAAATTATACAATTCTAATTAATAGTTCTTAAAATATACTATTTAATTAAAATAACTTAAGGTAAGTATACCAATTTAATACAGATAATGTTTACAATAAAATATTATAGAGATATATCAATTAGAATTAAATAAGTTTAGTACTATTCTATTTGTCTCATTAAAATAAATTAAATAGCAATAAAATTATATGATCTGGTTAATATATTCTATAATATTTTATTGTAAATACTATCTGTATTAAATTGGGTACTATTCAAATTAGAAATATAATTTTTAAACAAACTTTTAATATATAGTATTTCATAAACTAGTATTTGGAATTAGGTAATTTTGGTGCTATTTAATTTATTATAATAAGATAAATTAAATAGTACCAAGATTTTTTAGCTCTAATTGATATACAATATAATATTTATTATAAACTTTATCTGCATCAAAATAGATATAACTTCTTTATATATCTTTTTATTTGAACTTGTATCTAGTTTATAGTCTAAGAATTGTTTTATTTTTTTTGATTTAGATCTTGCTACAAGTTTATTTGCTAGTATTTTCTAATATACTTTTTTTTTTAGTAATTATTTTGACTATATCAACTTTATTAGTTAATATTTTATAGTTTATACAAACTTATTCTTTTTTCTTTTCTATTTTTATCAATTATTAGAGATGAAAGCTTATATTAATTAACTAAATTTTGTTGTTATCTAAACAAATTCTTTTTTAATATATTTATATTAGATATTTTAGAGAAGCAGCTTTTTAAAATGATGAAACTATTTTGGTTTCTTGTTTTTTTTTTTATTCTTTTCTATATAATTTAAGTTTTGACCAAAAGATAAGCTTGTTTTCTTTTTTGTTAATCAGTTGATATATTGTATAGAGGTTAAGACTTTGAGAGCTTTTGTAGTTTTTATATTAAATTATTGGTCTAAAAAAGATTAAGTAGTTAGCCAGGTAAATTTGTTTGCTCTAAATTTTTTAAAGTATTAGAAAGTTTTGAGGGGTGTTAACTAATAGTGTGTGATGTGTTGCTTAACAAACCCTGCATAGTTTAATATTTTGTATTAATAAAATTAGTATTAAACAATAGAGATATGATAAATAACTATTTATTGGCTATTTATCATATCTCTGTTAATTAATACCAATTTTATTAATAAAAAGTATTAAACTATATAGGGTTTGTTAAGCAACACATTACACTCTATAAGTTAACACTTCCAAAACTTCCTGATAAAAGGTCAAAAAACAAATCAAGCTTTAATACTTGCAGAAGAACTAAGCAAGATAAATTGTGTTTCTATAAGTTTTTAACATTTTTTAATTTTTCTCAAATCTCTTTAATATTCATTTCTCTTTGTTGTTACTAGTTCTGCATTCATACTATTTAATTATTTGAGTAGACTAAAAGCTTGTTTGATAAATAATTTTTTTCAAGTGCTTAACAATTTTCCAAACTCTTGTAATTTTGCAGTTAAGATTTGTTATTTTTAATTAATCTAAATATTGGTTTAAATATATTCTTAAGTGCCTCTTTAAATAAGTAAGTAACTTGTAATATATGGCAAAGTTTAGAAATTATACAGATATTATTAAGATATAATAGTTAACTTAGTGTTAGTTTTTTCAAGACAAGGTTTATAAATTATTAATATTATTTTTTTAATTAATTTTTTTAATTATATATTTAGTTTTCTATTATTATTGTTGTTGTTGTTTTCTTTTTCTCTTTTTAATTCTTTCTTTTATTCTTTTAATTTTTATAATATTGTAGCTTTTATATTATTATATTATATAGATTATATTACTTTTACTACTTAGTTTTAAACTCTATTTTAGCAGTTTGAATTTTTGCTAATTTTGCAAAAATTTAAAATAGCAAAAGATATATGATTTTATTACTAAAATAGTTTTTAAAAATAGTATATATATAGATCATTTAGTAGTATAATTAGATTTATATAAAAATTAAAAATGTGCTACTGATAAACCTTTTTATAATTATAATTAATTTTAGCTAAAATTTTATAATAGCATAAATCATTTTTATAATTCAATTTAATCATTCTCAGCATCCAATATTCCATTATAATTTTTTTCATTTTTGTAAATCCATAAATAACATAAATGTTTTTTACGCCATTCAATAAGTACTTTCGTAAACGTTATATGGTATTTACAATAAAATGTAAATAAATATTATTTTTGAATTATTGTAAATAATTAATTATAATGGTATACATTAAAGATTATAGGCTAACAATGCTATTAATATACGAATAAAAATTATCCTAGAAAAAAATTTACATATGGTAAAAAAAAAAAATGGAACAGTAGTGACAATATGTGTAAAAACAAAATTATTGCATTATATTAATTATAAATCAACATCTTCTAAAGCACTCAAATATAATGATCCATCAATTTCTTCCATTTCTTGTTTACTCTCTAATTGACTATCATTAGTAGTGGCTGTATAATAATTAGAATTATTCGAATTTGAAGTGCTTGATAATGTTAACTTTCTTTCAATTTTATTTATTACGTGCTCTGTAACATCCTTAGCATTTTCTTTAGGCAAACTCATCAAAATCTCATTAAGAGATTGTTTTATTATTGCCATAGTTGGTCTTTTGGAAGGATCATCATCCCAACAACTATTAACCAAGTCAACAAACTTTCTTGGTGTGTCGGGAGAGAATGTTTCTCGTTCATTAAGCATAATTTTAACCGCCAAATTTGAGTCATTTTGACCATTAAATGGTTTACGACATGCAGAAATTTCCCAAAATATTACTCCTAAAGAGTATATATCACATCTTTCATCAAATGGATATTGTGAATTTTTAAGTCGTTCCGGAGCTGTATATGCTACTAATCCAAAAGTTTTTTCACTCACAGATGCACGCTTATCCCGATCCGACACACGTGATAAGCCAAAATCTGTGATCATGGGACCACCATTTTCATCAACAAGAATATTTCCCTATTTAAAAATTATTTGTAGTTGCGTTCTATTAAATTCATACAATTCGTATAAAAAAATAAAAGACAATATAGTTGTTTAACTTACACTATGAAAGTCCTATTAAATGGATTGGAAATAATTATTATATTTTATTTAATAATTGAACAAATCATTCTTAAATATATAAAAATTATATGGCCTACCCTATGATATATTTTTTCACGATGAATAAACGATAATCCAATTGCAATTTGCTTAGCCAATAGGACTCGTTGATACCATGATAATGACATACCGTGAACTTTTAGATAATCTCGAAGGTTGCCATTCGCCGCATATTTCATAATCATTCCCAAATTACCATCATTATCCTTAGTGATACCATGAAATTTTACTATATAATCACCATCATGAACACGCTTGTGTAGCCTTATTTCATCGATGAAATCTTTTTGATCAAATAATTGCTTTAATACAATAGGGGTATCATCCCAATATGCAAGATGTACAATACCAAATCTAAAAAAATGTAATTCATGAGAAATTGTTTAATTATTATCATAAATCAAAATAGTTTCTCGAAAATTAACTAAAATAACTCACCCTCCCTTCATCAAAAATTTGTCAATAACAATCTGTCTATAATCAATAAATCTTAAATGTTGTTGTTCAATCGCAATTTCTAACCAACGGGTGGCTTGGTCTTTGTTTCCATCTTCCTTTCGCTTTTCTTCTAGTACTTTCAACTCCTTTTCGACATCATCTTTTAATTTTTTCAAAAACTCTTCTTGTTCTTCAATAGATAATTCTTTCTGTATTTTCATAGGCGAAAAAGCAACTGATATAGAACCAATAGAATTATCAAGACGTCGATTAAGATCCGTAATTAGACGTTGTAACCGAAAATCTTCAGCAGCATTGGGCTTAGCATTGGGAAATACGGGAAGCTGTCGTTGTTGTAAAAACATACGAACATCCATTATAATAGCTAGTTTATAAAAAAAAATCAATAAAAATATTAATAAGAGTATTGACTCATTAATTCATAAACATTAAATTACCTTTAACGCTTTCTAATCCATTAATAATTCCTTTTAAATCCCACTTCAATCCGACAATCTCACGATCCTCTTTTTCTATTATATCTAGAAATTCTTTAACTTTATCACCGATGGTTTGCAATCGTCCCGCAAAAGATACACATTCACTTTTATATGTTTTGGCATTTTGGGCAGAGAATTTAGCATTGAAAGCTTGAGAAGTTATATAAGAAGAGATGTTCTTAATATTTTCTAGATGTTGATCTTCTTCTGAGGGTTTATTAGATCCGTTTTCCATAATGTTAGTTAAAGCAATCGTAGCGTGGCAGTTGAAACGAGGAATTCAGAAAAATAGTTATTTTTGTAACTATGTAATTAACTCGGTCTTACAAACAAAGTATAATTCGGTCACTAAAATGCATATGTGAAAATTTAGTGAAACATTTGTAAACTTTGTTTTATTTTGCATATTCTTATATAGTACGTATTATGTAAAACTCTGCATTTGTGTGCTTATATTAATGGTAACATCTATAACACTTGCAAGATGTTTCAAATATAGTAATACTCTTGCAATGAAAAAGTCTAGTACTATCTCATTCAAAATACAGTCGCACCTCCCTAAGTGCACACCCCTCGGGACCATAGTGAAAAAATGCAAAATGTGCACTTAGGGATATTAAATTTTATAGTTGTTATATGAGTTGGGACCAAGCAGAGGCGTGCATATTAGAGGAATTTTTCATATACCGTGCACTTAGGGAATGTGCACTTAGGGGTCTGACTGTATGTAGTTTTTCTATTTTGTGAAACTAGTTTTATTTCATCATATTACCACGAGACTATTTTATATTAAAGTGATGCCAAACAAAAACTGTAAGTTCTATACGTTAGTAAAATTTTAATTACAAATTTAATATATAACTCAAGTTATAACAGTGTGCTTTATCTCTAGGTGTGATAATACAGTTTCAGAGCTTGTTGTTTAAATTTTACACAGCATATGACCCTCGTTCCTGGTTTGTGCAACTACGTTACGCAGTTACTTACGTACAATTGTTTGACCAATACAGAAGATAATTCTAGTTTTGTTTTTATTTATTTGCTTTTTATTTATGATACATAAAAGCTTTTACTTTTTTTATTGATTATATACGGTGCAAGAAATCTAGAAACGTCTTATGGAGGCAAAATGCAAACAGTAAAATTAAATATTCCCTACCGTATAAGCGCGAATAACGCACAGGGGCGTTATTTTGAATAATGGCCCGAATTAGGTTTAATTTAGGCCAAATTTCGAAATTACACCCCTGCGCGTTATTTCGTGCTTATACGGTAATTTTATTGAATAATTTTAAGTGTAACATGCCCTATGAAAAGTTTTACGGAAATTTAAATGAATTGTACGGAATATTTAGTAATAATTCCGTATTACATACGGAATTCAAATTCGGTATTTTATAAACGGAATATGCCCTGGGAAATGATATGGAATTTATAAAGAAATGCATTAATTCTTTATGCATATTCTGTATATAAAATATCGAATTTGAAGCGATTTCCGTTGTTACCATCTAGGTTGGGAGAGCGATGGGCGTATATGCACAATTTAGCCCTGATGGTTAACGGGTGAAAAATATATATAAAAAGCATGTAGATGTTATTAATGAAATGCTTAGAGACATCTCGTAGTCCTCCCTCTTTATTAAGGTCTAAAGAATACATGATTATGGATAATCATTTAACCATTTACATTCATATTAACAGATCTTGAATGAATGCGTTTGCATACTAACTAAATTACAATATATTCCGTATAATTCATTTAAACTTTTTTCATAGGATGATCATCAGTTTTATTGAGGTTAGTGTTTCGAGAGAAATTATTTTCCAAATCCGAAATATTTCGCCCAGAAGAATTCTAATTTCACCCTATAAGTCCGAAACCCTCCGAAATTAGTTTCGCCCAATTTGATCTGTAAATGATCTGCAAATTCGGGTTTCGCCCGAAACACTAATTGAGGTGTTACATGATATATTTATAAGATTATTTTTAAATACAGGATGTAACCAGCTTGGGAAACAAGAATCCGGTGATTATAAAAAGTTGTAATTATATAATGATCAAATTTTATATATTTTATATTAACTCGAGTTAAAAAATAGTGTATCAAAGTTGTGACTATATCAAGTTGACTATAATGAGGTCTGACTGTATATATTTAATTAATCGGTAGTACTTTCACATTACAGCGGTAGTAAAAAATTTATGATACTTTGGGACAATTTAGGAATTTTAGGACATCCAAAATTAAATCTTTTTATTTTAGGATAATCCGAAATCCAACTTTATTTTTTGGTCCGTCTATAAAAGACCAGACTGGCCCAGACCTAAGATAGAGTGCAAGACTAGGTTTTAGTCGAACTGACTAGCAGCTCTAATTGTGTGCATAATCTAAATTTAATATGTCAGATCAAATATCGCAATCAGTTTAACTTAAAATTTTAGACCACTTAATATTCCCGTTTGCGCGATGACGTTGTGCAGCCAGTGCAAAAAATTCGATGTGCACATGTGCTGACGCACATGAAATTTTCTTATTTTAATATGAAGAAAGCATGTGATCATATGAGTGCGCACATACTTCTCAAACTGAATTTTTCACACTGTATGCAGCTACCTTATGGGTAAATTTTCGTGTAACAATAGCGAAAATCCATTGTAAAAATGCTAAATTTTGAACAAAATTAAGTTAGATCATTGAAAAATTGTTTATTATTGTTAATAAATTCAATACCAACATCAGAAAGATAAATTCATTAATATTGCTAAATTATTTTAAATTAATAAAAAAAAACTATTCATTTTTCTAAAATATAAGCTCCGCTGAGCAACTGAGTAATAAATTAATATGAAAATTATGGAGGGGATACAATTTGATAATTTAATAATTTTTTATAATCGTTTTATATAAGATATTTTGAATTTCAAACTATGTCTTCACCATAATTTGCATAATAATTTATTAAAAATTTTACTCAATTTTACTTAATTGCTTAATGGAATCTATATATTGAAAAATTGAAACGATATTTTTTAAAAAAAATTTATTGAAAATTTATTTAATTTATTAAAAAGAAATACTGTATGTATTTTACTAACGTTAATAATTAATTTTTTAAGTAGATCATCCCATTGTTACATAAAAATTTACTACATATACAATTTTCTATAGACGATGCATAGATTTAATACACTGGACACCTCAATGTAACATGCCTATGATCAACTACATCGGCATCATGTGCTAGTTAGATATTAAATATTAAGTAATTTGCTTGCGAATTATAAGAGAATACAGTAAATATGATAAATTATTGGCGAAATGTGAATCAAGTTTTGAAGAAAAATTTCCACGTGAAAATTACACCATCCTGAATTCCCGTTCTACACGATACCAAAGCATCCTTTTTGTGAACTTCTACTTCGTAAGAGGTATGATTATCGCCAACCACATGGTCCTAGAAAGTAAATTTTAAAATTTTTATTTTTTATACAACTGGAGTTTGCATTAATAAGGAGGTCAATTTACCTGAAGTCCATTTAAGACAGTCACAGCATCATGAGGATGGCACCTAAGTCTACCTTTGGCTTTTGCTAAGGAAATTTCTCTTGTTATTTAAAAGAAGTTGAAAATTATTTCTTAGCATAAGTACAATAAATACCAGCTAGTATTTCTCCGGTTGAAGTCCATGAGACATTTACAATAATTTTATTTTCTCCAATCTTTTTTGTGACGGCGAGCGGCAAAGGCACAATTTGTTTGACATCAAGGTAAGTAGTAGAAACGCTAATAAATAGAAGGGAAAAGAAAAATGCAATAATTAAGCAAGATTGACGATTCATATCGGGTATATGTTTATTTTAAATTATTGAATTGGTTAAGCAGAGGAGGTTAAATAAAATGTTTATATAAGAAAAATCTTTGAAGCGATCGCTAAAAAATCCAAGATATCAATTTAACAAATTTGCTCATTTAAAAAAAAAAAAAAAGAAATGTACGATACAAATTTGAATGCGCGTTTTCAAAGGTTAAGATTTACATAGTGCTGTACTACGTATGAAGATACGTGATTCCTTTTTTGAAAATGGCCGCAAATTGAAGCTCGCAAATTCATATGCAGTACTGTACAAAGCAAAAGTTCCTCGTTTTAGGTACAATAAAGGCAAGTATTATAAGTAACAAGAATATTTACTTTGAAGAATCTGTTTAGGTGTTGATCGATATCGGGTCTATAACCGGTTTAATCGGATAATAATAATTGGGGATCTTTGCAGTATAGGTGAGACCATTAATAAAAAGTATAATTAATCAATTGATTTAGAATAGGTATCACTTATATTGCAAGAGATCCATAATTGGTTATAAAATCGATACTGCCTATTTAACTATATTAATATACTATGACTATTACAAAAGGTAATCAAACGAATCTCACATTTTTGTAATAAATATTATTGAATTAGTGATTTTTAGATTTCCATAATATTTATATATAGTAATCGTTATTAAATTTAAAAAATGTAAATCAAAGAAATCTCTTAGATTTCGAATGATATTACACTTTTTGAAACCAAATTAAAAAAGTTCTTCATTTCTGAGGATTAAATTTTGTCTATTAACGATCGTCCCAAAGATTTTTCTTATATAAACACCTTACTTCACCCTCTGTATCATATCTATTAAATAAAATTTATAATATCAAATAAATATAATTTATAATATCAAATAAATATAATTTATAATATCAAATAAATATAATTAATATGAATCGCCAATCCATCTTAATATTCCTCATTGTATTTGTCACTTCACTTCTTTTCGTTAACGCTGATACCGCAGATTCAGCTGAAAAAGTAGGCGTCAGAAGTATTAGGCCCGAACTGGTCAAAGTCAAAAAAGTTAGCGCAAAAAAATTGATTGTAGAAGTTGCTTGGAATGTAACCGATAAAGTCGGAGATTATGACCAATATTTGTCAAAAAAAGGAATAACCAAACTTAGTTGTAAACCTAGTGGCATTGTGACTATTAGGAATTCTCATCAGGTAAATTGAAGCGATTTATCATATAGTCATAAAGCTATCATCTCTAATTGTGTTAAAATTTCGTATTCTAGAAACATTTGGTTGGTGACTTTAAAACCACCTACAAATTAGATGTTCACAAAAAGAATACTGTGGTGAAGTGCAAATCCACAATTTTTTACGAGCAAACTCTCACAACCTTTTCTTTTAAAGCATAATATTTTATATTATAACAAGCTATAAGTGATTAATAACCAATTAAACGATTATTTGATGATTAAACGAGGTTAAACGATTAATAAACGGTCAAATGATCAAACGACTAATAAAATGGCTAAAAGATTAATAAACGGTTAAGCAGTTAATAAACGGTTAAACGATTATTACTCGTGTAGTTAAACAAACGCGCTTAATCACAAGCATAATTTTTTGCGGTTCCAATCCCTAATTTGATATGATATTTATATGCATTTATGCGATATACGGCATTTATACGGCATATTGCACTTCTACCTATACGGCAAGCATGCCGTATCGCTGTGATATTTTTGCCGGGGTAGTTGTCTGTATCATAGGCAGAAGTTCGTCTGATTGGTTAATTTTTGTAGATCTACCCGTGATTATTAACCAATCAAATTCATAACTTTATTGCAATATTGACATAAAAACTACAAGGAAACGAAACCTTATACGTAAAAAGAAAATGTATAAATCAAAACATATATATATTTGAGAAATACAGTATGCTATAAGCGCATAAAGAATATATATATAATAAAGCGATTATTACTTTTAACAAGCTTAAACGCTCTATATTTCACTATATATAACCAAGACCTTTGGTAAATCTTAATACGCTTCAAGAACTGATCTAACTTAAAGTCTATCCTATACATTATATTGCCCTCTTTATTAACAACCTTGTTTTGTCTAAAAACCAAACTTAAGATCTTTTAATCTTAAAAAAAGAAAAATAGTTATTTCCGTTAGAAACTGTTTCTATTTAGCACTTTAAAATTTAGAAAAGGCTTTTTTTTCTTTAAAAAATCGTTATTAAGCTAACTAGTGATTGGACCTGGATAGGTGCCACCCGGGTTACCCGCGGGTGGACGGGTGACCGGGTGGAGTTTTGGCCACCCGGGTGGAAGCGGGTGGGTCACCCAACGGGTGGCCTATGAACAATAATTGCAACTTTAAGTATATTAATTGTTTTTTTTTTTTTCTTTAAAAAAAACTTTCAAAATGGGTTTTTATTAGACTAGACACTCATTCAATGAATTGGAGGTAAAATTTTAAACGTTACTATTTTGATAAAATTTCTAACCGATCCAAATAAAATTACTATTTTATTTTTACA